AGATAGAGTCGTCAAAATGAATACAAATTCCATATCGACACCTGAGTGGAAGATCGACCTATCTCGGCAGCCAGTTCGAAAACGCCCTATCTCAGAAAACTTTTCAAGAACGCCCTACTTCATAAAATGATTGAAGAACGCACTATTTCAGAATTTTATTGAAACACACCCTATACATTTTTTTTTGAAGAACGCCCTATCTCAGAATTCGGTTCAAAAGCGCCGGACCTCAACACGTTTTCAATATATTTTCAACTGAGATAGGGTGTTTTTGAACCGAATTTTGAGGTAGGGCGTTCTTCAACCGAATTCTGAGATAAGGGGTTTTTCAATAAAATTCTGAAATAGGGCGCTCTTTAATCAAATTCTGAAGTGGGGCGTTCTTGAAAAGTTTTCTGGGGTAGGTCGTTTTCAAACTGGCTGCCGAGATAGGTCGATCTTCCACTCAGGTGTCGATATACAACTTTTATGTATTTAATTTTAAAATGAATACATTTTATGTTTCATAATATTAAATTTCTAGCAATAGAGTCTCTTAAATTTCGACCAACACTATTTAAAGTACTGCTTTCCTCATTTTCAGCTATTTCCTCATCATTAGGATCGGTTTCTAATATGCTTTCTGGTTCAATATCATCTATTTGATTACGCCTACATATATTGTGTAGTGCGCAACACACATTTATTATCTTCACTGCTTTTTGTGGCGTATATGGTAAGGTAGTTTTCAAACAACGAAACCGACTTTTTAGAACTCCTATAACTCGCTCTACGATGTTACGTGCTTTTGCATGTTGCTGGTTGAATCTGTGTTCTGGTGATCCTGGATCGGGGTTTCTATATGGAGTCAATAAAAATGATTCTAAGCCAAAACCAGAATCTCCCAGTAGCCAAGACCCTCGGTTTTGCACTGCTCATGCATCAAGCATCATGGCTTGCGCCAGGCCGAGTTGCATCTACTGCTCGTATTGTTATATCAGAATCACAAATCTGTAATATAACACAGTAAACTTAAAAAATTTACAAACACAATTTGAATTCATTCTTACAATCATTGCATTTATGCTGAAGAAACCTTTTCTATTAAAAAAAAGATGTTCGTTCTCATAAGGCTTTACCAGAGCGACATGGGTTCCATCAATACACCCTATTACTCCTGGAATCTCAAGTTTTTGCACAAAATTAAGTTTCGTTTTTCTGGAATCCTCTTCAGACATTTTCAGTTTAATCCACTTAGGACACAGAACATTTCCCAATACAATAACCATTTCGGATAATATTTTTGATACTGTGCTTCTACCCAGAGCAATATCGGCATCCTTCCCGACTGAACGTTGATACGAACCTTCTGCGAAAAATCTAAGGCTTTCTGCCAATTTTAGTATAATTGGTATGGACGTTTCTTTGACGAAAGGTGTTACTTCATTGAGTACTTCTAAAAAAGCATATTGGTTTAAGCGATAGCTGAAAACAAATCTAAAGTAAATAAAGAAACTTATGAGTACAATGAGTATAACCTTACGTAGACTCCGGTGTACTGAGGGGATTAGAGTGGTATCTTAAATACCGTCTATCGATTATATTTTGGTAATGTCGCTCCCGTTCGCTGAACACATAAGCAGCCATAAAAAACATTGTACTTATTTAATGAAATCCGTTTGCTTTCAAATTATTTTGTATCTTATGCCAACGAACTCTTTTGTCATTTGGTTTGTTTAATTGTCACAGAGAAATCAGCTGTTTCGAAGTAAAGTTCGAACTAAAATAAAATCGAACGAATTACAGAACACCCAAAATCAAATCGTTCGAATTGCCATTTCGGATCCGATTTTAAATCGCGCGATTTTCAGAACACGCCTGATAGTAACAGCAGTCGTTGCCGCAAGACAGGCCGCATCTTTAGAAGATTTAGAACAAAGGATGTCGCAACTAATAGAAAGCAAAATTGAAAGATCTTTGAATGTTGTGCTCGGTAGATTCAATAATAATAATAACCAAAATAACATTGAGGTGAGAAGTCCTAGCCAGAATCCTGATGATGTACTTTGGCCGCGTGACGAACCTCGCGGTTTTAATCAGTCACCTATTGTGGCTAGAAACGAAAACGTCAGGTTTAGTGACATATCAAGCGTAACTAACGCAAGCAAGATCTCCCAGTTGATTTCCAGCTGGGATATTAAATTTGACGGCTCCAAGAAACTCTCCGTAGAAAATTTTGTTTATAGAATTGAATCACAAGTCATTGATACCCTTGCTGGAAATGTAAATGTACTTTGCGACCATGCCCAGTGTCTTTTTATTAGTGAGGCAATAGACTGGTTCTTGCGAACGAATTTTGAGGAGCATAGGACGGACACGGATATTAAAGAAGCAATGAGAGCAAGGAAGCAGGGCAGTACAGAAACCTTTGATTATTACAAAAATGCCGTGTTGAAAATTTCTGAAAATTTACACAATCCCATTAGTTAGGGTGAGGTTGTAGAAATCCTGCAGAGGGGATTGCGTCCTCGAGTTAGAGAACAGCTTTTATACGTGTCCATAAATTCAGTTGCTCAACTACGCTTAAAACTCAACTATGCTTAAAAGGCGAAACACTCCTATTGGAAATTGTCAAAAGTAATCCAGCAGCAGCTGCACCTAACCCTAAAGGCTACCCTAATAAGCGACAAATAAGTTAATTAGATTTTAACTGTGACGTTGAAGAAGTCGACGAGAAGCCTACCTCGACTGATGTTGAAGAAGTTTCTTCCGCTACGTTGACTGCGTCGCGCCCCGCACCATATTTTGTTACGGTTGTGGCTAAGCAAACGTTTACAAATCAAACTGCAAGAACTGCTTTTCGAAGAACTTGAATGCCAGCGAATGCTCGACAACGAACCTTCGCAAAGACCAAACCTTAAACCACTAATCACAATATCTGAGACAAAAGATTTACCGGACTTTTCTGAATGTGAGGAAGATGAAAACGCGTTAAAACAGTTTAAAATAACTCCGTTTAAAGAACGCATAAAAATCTATAGTGAAAAACGAAGCGATATATTCGGGGCGAACGTGCAACAGCACAACTCCAGGAGGGTCAGGTCTACGCAGCGTATGAGAAACTTTTGGAAGGAGGTTAAAATAAATCGAAAGCATATCAGTTCAATAATTTGCTCTGTTACCAGTAAATAAAATGACTTACGACCATATGCAGAAGTTGTAATAGCGAACAAAAAACGTTTGGGATTGCTAGATAGTGGCGCACAAGTATCGTGCATAGGGGCAACTTCGCTAAAGAAGTATGCAAGGAAAGCGAGTTTTCTACGCATGCAACGTCTATAAGCACAGCAGACGGCCGAAAACCAATAGTGTATGGTACAACCTCTTTTCCAGTAACATTTAAGTCGGAAACCAATCCCATTACTTTCTATGTTGTACCAAGTTTACACCAAGATCTAATTCTGGGCATTGATTTTTGGAGGAAGTTCAAAATTTCACCTCAAAACGGCCCTTATTGAACATTGCATTAAGTTAGAACCGAACGTGAAACCGATAAAACAAAGATGTTTCCCTATATCACCTGCAATAGAGAAATTGGTGTACAAGGAAATCGATGAGCTGTTGAAGTTAGGCGTGATTGTGGAAGCCCCTAACAGTCCGTGGGCAAGCCCTATTGTTTTAGTTCGAAAACCAACAAAAGTTAGACTATGCCTTGACGCAAGGAAAGTCAACAGCGTGACAGTAAAGGACGCATATCCTTTACCCCATATCGATGGAATATTAAGTCGATTACCGAAAGCCGAATACATTTCCTCCCTTGATTTACGTCGTGCGTTTTGGCAAATCCAGTTAGCAGAAAATTTCCATGATTTAACATGTTTCACAGTTCCGAACAGGCCTTTGTATAGATATCGTGTAATGCCATTTGGACTTTGCAATGCTCCACAGGCCTTATGTCGACTTATGGACCAGGTAATACCAGCCAATTTAAAAGACGAAGTATTCGTTTATCTTGATTATTTACTTATAATTTCTAACAATTTCGAAAGGCATATGTCTGTTCTAACCGAAGTGGCCTGCCAACTTCGAAAAGCTGGTCTTACCATAAATGTGAAAAAGAGCAAATTCTGTATATGTGAGGTAAAATATTTAGGTTTTGTTGTAGGAAACGTTACTCTTTGCACTGATACCGACAAGGTTTCTTCGATGTTCAATTTCCCAGCACCTACGACGGTAAAACAGCTAAGGCGCTTTTTAGGTATGGTTGGGTGGTACCGACGATTCGTCGACAATTTCGCTGCTTTAACTGTACCACTAACAAACTTGCTTAAGAAAGGTAAATTCCAATGGAATGAAGAGGCCCAATATGCTTTTGATATGTTGAAGAAAAAATTGGCAAGTGCCCCATTGTTGGCAAACCCTGATTACAAAAAGCCATTCCTGATTCAATGTGATGCCAGCAAATTAGGTGTAGGAGCCGTGTTAGCTCAAGTTAACGAAAAGGGTGAAGAAGTGCCTATAGCTTACTTCTCGAAAAAGTTAAACAAAGCTCAATCAAACTACAGTGTTACGGACCTCGAGTGCTTGGCCGCAATCTTAGCCATAAAGAAATTCCGAGCATACACAGCTCAGAGAAAATGATACAGGTAAAACGCAAGTTTTTAAAAGAAATTGTAAAATAAAATTTTTTTATATAATTTTGCTTCATACAAAATAAAAAATACAGTATTTGTACTTACGACTTTAAAACGAAACATTCGCAAAACAAAAACGATCGTTATACTATATTTACTTTTTTACTGAGGAAAACAAACGACATTAAAGAAATAGCGTCAAAAATGCGTATTTTCAAAACTAAAATGAAACATTTTAGAATATTGTCCCAACAAGTTGTAGCGCGACACAATTTTCAACAAGCAAAATAAAACTAGACATTTTGAAAATAAAAACGTTAATTTATTTTCAGTCAATTGGGCATGAAAAATATATAAAACTAAAATGTTTTCCATTAGGATTTAAAAACTTACCTAGCTATATGGAAAAACATTCATATGTTTACATCATATGTCGGAAAAATTGTGTTCAGATAAATGAGTTACTTCAATCTTCAGAAAAGGCGATGGAGTTTATATAAACAATACTGGCATTCTAACCCCGCACTACATAAAAGGGACATTGGTGGACTTCTTTGACCGAAAAAAGCTTTAGTAAGAGTAACTTATAAAACCAAATTCTTATAGGTTATTAAATAATAATTTAAAACTTTTTTTATTTAAATTACAGGATTTGACTAACGTGAAGCAAAATTAGCAGGCCCAGCTTGGAAGTAAGGTAGGAACATCTGTATGTATGTATACAGTAATATGTAAAACATCTGTATTTCATTTATTAAATGTTGTAACTTATTTATAAGTATATGTTTCTACTATATATTTGTGGAAGTATGTATGTATGTATGTGCCTCGTTTTGACAGAGTATTGCCATGACTCCTGGGCCTATAACAGGGTGAAAAAAATTGGGATCCTACAAGGGGGCGTGGCACCTCCCATAGGCGTGAAATTTTTAATCAGCCATAACTTCGGAACCATAAGTCACATGACCTTGAAATTTATAATACAGACATAAAATTGGTAGGGTATATATAAATGAGTTTGTAGAAGGGGGAGTGGCACATCCCATAGGCGTGGAATATTTCATCAGCTATAACTTCGGAACCTTAAGTCACACGAACTTGAAATTTGGTATGCATACATATCAATGGTAGCTGCTTATAGGAGGGTATATATAAAGGAGTTTGTAAAAGGGGGCGTGGCACATCCCATAGGCGTGGAATTTTTTATCAGCTATATCTTCGGAACCATAAGTCCCACGAACTTGAAAATTGGTATGCAGACATTTTAATGGTAGGCGCTTATAGGAGGGTATATATAAAGGAGCATATAAAAGGGGGCGTGGCAAATCTTATAGGCGTTGAATTTTTCATCAACTATAACTTCGGAACCATAAGTCACACGAACTTGAAATTTGGTATGCACACATTTTAATAGTAGATGCTTATAGGCGGGAAAATATAAACGAGTTTGTAAAAGGGGGCGTGGCACATCTCATAGGCGTGGAATATTTTGTCAGCTATAACTTCGGAACCATAAGCCCCATGAACTTGAAATTTGGTATGAAGACATATCAATAGTAGGAGCTTATATGAGGGTCTATATAAATGAGTTTGTAGAAGGGTAGGTGCTTACAGGAGGGTATATATAAACGAATTTGTAAAAGGGGGCGTGGCACATCCCATAGGCGTGGAAATTTTTATCAGCTATATCTACGGAACCAAAAGTCACACGAACTTGAAATTTGGTATGCAAACATGTCAATGTTAGGTGCTTATAGGAGGGTATATATAAACGAGTTTGTAAAAGGGGGCGTGGCACATCCCATAGGCGCGGGGTTTTTTATCAGCTATAACTTCGGAACCATAAGTGACACGAACTTGAAATTTGATATGCAGACATACCAATGGTAGATGTTTATAGGAGGGTATATATAAACGAGTTTGTAAAAGGGGGCGTGGAACATCCCATAGGCGTGGAATTTTTTATCAGCTATAACTTCGGAACCATAAGTTCCACGAACTTGAAATTTGGTATGCAAACATGTCAATGGTAGGTGATTATAGGAGGGTATATATAAACGAGTTGGTAAAAGGGGGCGTGGCACATCCCATAGGCGCGGAATTTTTTATCAGCTATAACATCGGAACCATAAGTCACACGAACTTGAAATTTGGTATGCAAACATGTCAATGTAGGCGCTTATAGGAGGGTATATATAAACGAGTTTGTAAAAGGGGTGTGGCACATCCCAAAGGCGTGGAATTTTTTATCAGCTATAACTTCCGAATCATAAGTCACACGAACTTAAAATCTGGTATGCAGACATATCCATGGTAGGTGCTTATAAGAGGGTATTTATAAATGAGTTTGTGGAAGGGGGGCGTGGCACATTCCATAGGCGTGGAAATTTTTATCAGCTATATCTACGGAACGTTAAGTCCCACGAACTTGAAATTTGGTATGCAAACATGTCAATGGTAGGTGCTCATAGGAGGGTAAATATAAACGAGTTTGTAAAAGGGGGCGTGGCACATCCCATAGGCGCGGAATTTTTTATCAGCTATAACTTCGGAACCATAAGTGTCACGAACTTGAAATTTGGTGTGCAGACATATCAATGGTAGGTGCTTATACGAGGGTATATATAAACGAGTTTCTAAAAGGGGGCGTGGTACATACCATAGGCGTGGAATATTTTATCAGCTATAACTTCGGAACCATAAGCCCCATGAACTTAAAATTTGGCATGAAGACATATCAATAGTAGGTGCTTATATGAGGGTCTATATAAATGAGTTTGTAAAAGGGGGCGTGGCGTATCCTATACGCGTGGAATCCTTTATCAGCTATAACTTCGGAACCATAAGTTCCACGAACTTTAAATTTGGTATGCAGACATATCAATGGTAGGTGCTTATACGAGGGTATATATAAACGAGTTTCTAAAAGGGGGCGTGGCACATCCCATAGGCGTGGAATATTTTATCAGCTATAGCTTCGGATCCATAAGCCCCATGAACTTGAAATTTGGTATGAAGACATATCAATAGTAGGTGCATATATGAGGGTCTATATAAATGAGTTTGTAAAAGGGGGCGTGGCGCATCCTATAGGCGTGGAAATTTTTATCAGCTATAACTTCGGAACCATAAGTTCTACGGACTTGAAATTTGGTATGCAGACATATCAATGGTAGGTGTTTATAGGAGGGTATATATAAACGAGTTTGTAAAAGGGGCGTGGCACATTCCATAGGCGTGGAATTTTTTATCAGGTATAACCTCGGAACCATAAGTCGCACGAACCTGAAATTCGGTATGCAGGTGTAGCTATGGTAGGTGCTTATAAAAAGATAAATATAGGCGTGAAAATTTTTATCAGCTATAACTTCAAAACCATAAGTCACATGAAATTTAAATTTGGTATGTAGACATATCTATGGTAGGAGCTTATAGTAAGGTATATATGAATGAGTTTATAAAAGGGGGCGTGGCACATCCCGTAGGCGTGGAATTTTTAATCAGCCATAAATTGGGAACCATAAGTCACATGAACTTGAAATTTGGTATATACATAGGTATCTATGAGAGGTGTTCAGAGTAAAGTATGTATAAATGAGTTTGTAAAAGGGGGATATACATATATATATTTATCTATTAGATAACTCGGATATTTAAAACTGTGTGTGTTTTTTTTTTGTGAAACTTCACCATCTTTAGATTATTTTGAAATGGAAAGATTAAATCGTTTTTTAATCTCGCGATGCTGTTAAACGAAAAAGGTTCGTTCATAATGAATAAAACTCCTTCCGAATTAAGCATTATACTAGAAAAGTGTAGCTAAATAAAACAGCTAATCGAATAGGCAGCTAAACGGAGTGTACCGTAGTAGAATAATTTTAATTTAGAAATTTTATAGTTACCTTAATGTATCTAATATTAATAATGGAACAAAATTTGTAGTACAAGTGATGATCAATATATATTAGTTATAGCACGATAAAGCCCAAAGTATGGCTCCTAAGGATGGCTTAATGTAAACAAAGAAAATAGTTTGTCTCCTTTAAATTATGCTAAACTGAATATTTGTATTACTGTTTTATATTTTGATTTGTTTACCCCGAACGACGTCGGGTGCTAGTATCAATATATTTTTTACAATGTGTGTACCAAACGACTTGTTGTGATTTAATAAAAATAAAATTTGAATATCATATTTGAAAACGCATATTTTTAAAATGAAGAAAAAACATTTTAGGATTTAATTTCAACATGCGGATATTCAATTATCCAACAATCGTTTTTAAAAACGATTTGAAAATGTTCGTATCAAAAACAAAAACATGTATTTTGGAAATTGAATTGAAAATTTTCGTTCTCAAAATTTAAATAAATATTGTAGGTGCAAAACCTGGGTAAAAACGTTCCATACAAATTGGAAAACGAAAATTTCTCTGTGTACGCAGAGGGGCAAGAATTTACCGTGATTACCGATCACGCTAGTTTGAAATGGCACATGCGTCAGCCAGACCTCAGTGGTAGATTAGCGAAATGGTCCTTAAAATTACAAGGGTACAAGTTCGAAATTCTCCATCGTAGAGGAACGCAAAATGTGGTGCCCGATTGTCTCTCTAGACAGAACTTTGAGGATGTATCCGAGTTAAAGTTTCATCCAATCATTGACTTGGAATCCCCCGAATTTGAATCTGACGAGTATCAAAAGTTACGCAGCTATATTCAAGAAAATCAGTCTCGTCTGGCTGACTTGAAAATCGACGGCAACAAGATATATAGACGAACCGAACAACCGGACGGTAATGTGGAACGAGAAAGATACAACTGGAAGTTATGGTTACCAAAAGGATTAGCAACCTAAGCCATTGAAAATGCCCAAAATCCAGCAAACAAATGCCATGGAGGCATAGCCAATACTTTGGAACGATTACGGTTGAACTTATATTGGCCAGAAATCACCGTTGATGTCAAAAGATTTACTTCAAGCTGTGATGTTTGCCAGCAAACTAACGCTCTGAATATTGTTCTTCGACCTCCGATGTCAAATAAGTTCCAAGTTCAAAGGCCATTTGAGCAGTTATATATTGATCTATAAGGCTCATACCCTAGATCAAAAGAAGGAAATATTGGCATGTTAATCATTGTTGACCACATGACTAAGTTTCCATTTCTGTTTCCATTAAAAAGATTGTCTTCCGCCGTGATTATAAAATATCTCCGAGAGCAAGTGTTTACAGTATTTGGAACGTCCGAGGTGATTATTAACGACAATGGAAAGCAGTTTAAATGTACACAATTTAGCAACTTTTTGCAGGAAAGAAATATCAAGCACGTCTACACAGCAATCTATAGTCCTCAAGCCAATGCTAGCGAAAGAGTCAATCGTTCAATAATAGCAGCAATCCGTACTTATGTTTCCAAAGAACAAACGAATTGGGACCGCTATATACCCGAAACAGCTGAATATGTACGTAGTTCCTATCATCAGACAATTGGCTTTAGTCCATACTACTCGCTTTTCGGCCAACAAATCGTCGCCTCAGAAAACGGATGACGAATGTGCAAAATCACGATTTTGGGATTTTGATGCAGATTTACTAAGTTGGACATGCTCTTTCGATTTCTGCAATCCATTTTTTTATATCTCCATTAGTTTTTGAGATATTTCATGCGCATTTTGTCGTATGTTACATAATATTAATG